ATTTATAAATGTATGAATCATATGATGAAAAATTGACTTTGAAAAAGAAATCTTTTTTTCTGATAAAAGGCTAAATAAACCAAAAATATTGGTGGTAATTTTTGACTGTGTAACTTTACAAACAGCAGCCCATTGACCTGAACATCATGTTCCATCTGTTAAAGGTTATGTGTTGGTGAAATATGCATATTTAGTTTCTGATGTTCCTTTAATGAACTTAGGCGTCACATCATGCGATAAACAACCCCCCAAAGTCTGCTCCAGCAGCTCTCAAATTCCTGCTATTGTCAATTCGAAGACTTCTACAGAGACCATTGTGGCTCCGTGATGTTGACCACATCCAACCACTGAACTGAGAGGCTCCAGTCCCTCCAATCAGAAAGGAGCATTTCCTTCCCATAGAAAAGAAGTTTCCCTGGTAACAGCCAGCAGTGAATGCCCCTTCAATTTGCACCTAATTGCTGAGCGGTGCTTCTCCATTTCTCCCCATTTTTTAATCTGAAAGTCCAGCTGCCTCAGACCAGAACCTGGTACCTTGTGTCACATCAAGACGTGAATTAGAAAATAAAAAAACTCAGTGTGCATCACGTTTCTATTTGTTCCTGTCATGGTTATGTTTTTTTTCTTTCTATTTTTATGACGTTTTGTACATGTCATTTTTTTCACAATGTGAAATTCATGGCTAATAAACATAAGAGTTTTTTCCTCTTGACTGTAACGCCTCTGTGTTTTTCCCCCCGCTGTATTATTTCAGCTCATTTCTCTGGAACTTTCTCATTACTGCATGTTTCACATATTTAGGCAGCTTTCAGATAAATGCACCAGCTCGTGTTCGGAGGTATTTAGAGCAGCATATCATGCACACAGGTTGTGTTCTGGGAGGATGGGGTGAGTAGGGAGGCTGAAATTGTCTTATCTGTATGCCTCTGGCTTCGGAGCTTCCTGCACGAGAACGAGCGAAAGAGACAGATACTTTCTTTTTCACTGTTGTGTCACCTTGGCAACAACAACCTTTATCTGCAAAGTGTGGGGGGTGGAGGACAGCATGAAATCTTAAAAAGCACCTCTCCCTGGTCTCCCCCTCAGTTCATCAGTGAAATTTGTTGGAAACTTCTGATAATCTCTGGTTGATGAGAGTGATGCAGAGCTCATCACCACTCTTCATCCTGACAGTTCTTACATTATAAATCCAATTTTAAATAAAATACAGAGTTTAACAAATATAGTTATTTTTGTCTATCATAAATATGTGAATCAACTTTCACACTATTGCTTTCATGTTTATTATTTCTTCTGAACAAGTATTTGGACTTTATCTCATACTTTCACATATTTCAGACACTCATGTATTAAAACATTCAGCTCATTCAATACATTAACTTTAGCTTTTGAGTTTTGTAACTTCTATACTTGTAGAATCATTCAGTTTTATTTGTGTTATTTTTCTAAACCAGGGGTCTGCAACCTTTACGATCAAAGGAGCCATTTCTGCTCCTTGTCTCTAAAAAATGTGTCCAGAGCTGCAAAACAAGCTACAACTGTGATTATAAACTGGTGGTGTGTGGGCCTTTTCAAGGCCTTTTTGTGAACCTTTATGGTCAGTAGAGGAGACATTATAAAACTAAAGGAATATTGTTATTATTGTTATATTATTGTTTATTTTTATACACATCAGGACAAATAAAAATAAAAATTCATATAAACAAAAATAAAAACTAGTAC